AAACAGAAGAAAAAATTTATGTTAAACGTGAGGAAAATTTTTAAGATTATATAGTCAAAAAAAAGCGAGAAGAAAGAGGAAAAAAAAGAAAGCAGCTTGAAATGAAGACAACAGAGGAAAAGAAGAAGAAGGAAGAAGAAGCGAAGAAGCAAACTGGAAACATTATTATGGTCAACACAACCAAAAAATGACATTAAATTTAAGCATAAAATATGAATTACGCTTTTATTCTCTTTCTTTTTCTTCTTATTTTTTTTTCTTTCGTTGTTATTTCTTTTTCAAGCATCCCATATTGCTTAGTTGCCATACAATTACCAGTCTGTATCTGTTTATATGTGTATAACGGATATATACATATGAAAATATATCTGTGGGTCTTTCATTTTTGAAACGCGCAGAGTGTGTCCCCGTTGAGAGTTGAAGTTTCTTCCTGATGATGAGCAGCTTAAACACTCACTTGCTTGCCTTTTTTCTTCTTGCTTTCATTTGAGCTTTTTCTTTCTATCTGGGTCCCTCTTTTTTCCCTTCCGAAGATGAAACGTCAGGATTAATTGAATTTTGTTTTCGTCACTTATCTAAAGGCTTTCCGCTTAGAAACTTTTTTCTTCAATCTCAAACATTTTTGGGGTCACTGAAAAGAAAAAAAAGCTTTTTTTTTTGCTGCAACACCCCTCTTTCTATTCTAAAAAAAAGACAGAAGGAAAAAAGCAAGAAAGCAAACAAAAACAAATAGAAGACCAAGATTTGAAACCCAAACTAGATTCTAGCACAAAAGCACACACAGACAGAGACAGATAGATGCGAGCAGTGGTACGAAGATGCATACAGAAAGGCGCACATTTAACACCAATAATAACTAGGGTTTTGCAGGGTGTGTCTCTCAATAAATTCAAAAGAGATTTTCTTTTCAAAATTAGAAGAAAGAATTGCTTTTTTTATTCATCTTCTCTTTTTTTAGCAAAAAATTGATAAATCAGAAGATCCAGCAAAAAAAAACACTACCAACAGTTAAAATTGTTTCTTTGATGCTTGCAACTGATAAGATCACCATTGCCACTGCAGTCACTGGTGACAACAACCGGAAAAAGGTCATCGGAATCCAGGTGAAAATAGCTTTTTGTTTAAGCTGCTAAGGTAAATCAATAAACAGCAAAAAAAAAAAGAAAAAAAAACAATTGTTGCAAAAATTGTTAAGAAAAGTAAACCTTGAAGTCAGATTATTGTCATTCTAAAAAAAAAAAAGAAGTGCAGTCTTTTATAGTCATAAGCTTTTTATTTCTTTGATCATTTACGAAAGAATAATTCGGGCAACAAAAAGAAGGTCTTAAATTTATCGTCTACTTTTTTTTCTAAATTACTGCAGCACAAATATTTTGCAGCTAATCTATTCTGTAAAAATGGTACTATTAATTAGTCCAGTTACAACAGCAAAATTAAAATTATGATGTAAAAAAAGGCAACATACATACACAAAAAAACCTCGTAAAACATTATAGCTCCTTCTATCAAAAAAAAAACAAGAAGAAACATTAGAGAAGCAAGCAAAGACCGTAGAACTAATTAGTATCAGAAGCGCTGAAGTAATAATAATCTGCCTTACTTAAAGCAAAATAACAATAATAGAAACTTGGAAAAAAACCCAGATAATGTTTTTTTTTTTGGCGCAAAGAACTAAGCTGAACACTCTTCCACCAAATGTTGACAACATCTAATCGACGGCAACAACAACGACGATGTCAATTTCATAACGCCAACGACGACAACGACCATCGACGACCATGATGACGATGTTGATAATGATGGCAATGAAAAAGTAAAGCAAAGCAAGAGCAAAAGGAAAAGCAAAGCAGAAAAAAAAAAGAAAAAAAGCAATAAAAAACTGCATATTTAACTTAAATCCTTTTAGACGTCTTTATTCGGACAAACTAATAACTTAGGAATGACAAGAACTACAAAACGAAGTAAATAGGATAACGTCTTTCAAACCTTTGAGACGTACCTAACGAAGTGCTCCAAAAAGAAAAGTACATATATATATCTGTATAAATTTTAAAAATAGAGAAAACATAAAAATTTTTTTTCTTTAACATTTATTAGTCTTTTTCAAGAACATCGATTAACATATGCAAATTGTTTCAGTGAAGTTCAGTAAAAAGTCTTTTCCTTTTTTTTTTTT